TTACGAAATGAGTGTTGAGGAGGGCGATATCGGAGTTCGGCGTGCTGCCAAGAGAAAACTGAATCATGAATTGGGCATCGAAAGGGTTGATATCGAACAAATGGAGGTATACATTTGCTTTCGGCAATTCCTTTGCTACTTTTTTAAGGGATGAAAATGTATTTAAAAGTATAAATTCTACTATTTTGAAATGTTGTTGCATTAAAATGAAGATATTTTTACTGATTATTGGTTTCACCCATGAGAATATTACCGTTGATATGTATTGTTTTCGATATGTCACTTCATGAGCATGCGAATTTTTATCAAAAAAGAAGCACGTCCCCTAATTTTTTGGATATTTTTTGCATATATTTTACATTTTTTGTTCCAAGAGTTAGAGTGATAAATTGCAATTTTGGAAGTATTTACGCGTACTTGTCAACTTTCTTCGGCGCTATGCAGATTTTTTCCAATTTTTCAGGTGATGGGTCGATTTTTATATAAGTCTGTAATGCATAACAATAAGTGGGGTGAACATGAAATTGATCATGCTCTTGTGATTCGTGATTTTGACGTTGAGCAACTCAGGCGAAATCCAGAAGAAGTGGACGAAATTGCGATTGTTTCACCAAAAAAATTGGACGAAATGATGAAAAGTATGTTTTTTTTTTCTTTTTCTTTAATTATAAAAGTTATCTTCGCGAATGGAGCCACTTTTCAAAAATGGCTATGTACCGACGGGGATTCGAACCACTTCCCTTCACATCCGGACGTGACGAGTTATCCACTACACTACCGAATTTTGTGTGACACCTAATCCCTGGAGCACCTGTAATCTGTAAGTATGCCGTTCCCACACATATTGCTCTATGCTGTCTGACGTTGCAACCGTTACGTACCATATATAGTCTTTGCTGGCTTTTTGTAGAACTTTCGTGACAGATTTCGCACCAAATTTTACATTACGTAATTTCGAAAAAAGCTTGGAAAATCGCGCGAAAAATATTTTTTTTTCTTTTTCTAATGTTTTTTAACATCATTACATTTGTTTCATTAAAAATTGCGACATACACTTTGAAAAATTAGGAGCTATAGTATGGTAGGCTTTTGGATTTCTAGGTTTTATTTTCCTTCAGAAGCGAAGTTTGTTGTATTTTTGTTCGGGTACGGGTTCTGGCTTTTGGGTTTGACATATTAAAAATAGTTTCTTTCAATAAAATCAATTACCTGTCTTAATCCTGTGTTTTTCAAAAAAAAAATTTTGTCATTTAATGCGCCAGCTGGAATGGTCAGCAGTATTTGATGGTCAAATGTGATTGCTTCGGGCACTTTTACTTCGGGCACGGTGATTGCATGAAGTTGTTCGTTTTAGGTAATGAAGTATCATTTTCGCCTTGGTTCCAGTTGTTCGTGCAGCACAATATCTTACAGAAATGGTGGCAAAATTTGGATTGCTTGGATAGTTTAAAGGATTTCGACACCATAAAGCGACTAAACTGAATTGTCTTTCATCTTCAAGGAATATCAGTGAATCTACTGTTTGCGCTAAAACGGAAGTAAATTTGAAGTATCAGTAAGTGCCCCGGTGAATGCCGTATTTAGATGCTCAAGTAACAAATTGTGTGTATGTTTCTTTTCCCCCTTTACTTGTAGAATTTTTGGGTTAAACTGTTAAAACGAAGTGTAACTAACATATGAATCTTTCTTGAATTTGTGCTAGTGGCTATTTCATTTTGATTTATGAGATTTTGGACTGCAGAAAATACAACTGAGGACAAAA